GTTAGTGGTCACCGGATGGATTTGGCTCCAAGAGCCACAGGCCACTTGCGGTCTGTACACACCAGACCGGTGCAGGCGGGTCCTGAGGGCAGGCAACGTGCGTGATCCTCAGTATCCCATCCAGGACCAGAACCAGACAGTGCCGGCCACAGCTCCATCCCTGAGCACAGAAACAACCCCCAGGCACCAGCCCCACTGGTTCACCTTGTCAGAACTACATCTGCCGCCCCAGGAATGCAGGAGGGGCACTGGCTGGAGGCAACCCTACGCGGGCTAGATTAACCCCTTCTCTGCTGACTGGGCCCCACACCCTGCTGTAGGCTGAGACACGACAGACTGGGAGGCAGAGCTGTTCTGCATAAACAAAGCTGGTCACCCGGCACGGGGCTAGAGCACTGCCGGAGACTCAGGAGCCTGGGTGCTTGCCCCAGATTGGCCCCTGCAAGTCACACCCTGACCTGTGCCTCAGTTTCCCCACCAGTAAGATGGGGTTAATGATCCCACCCTCTGTAAAACGCTTGGACTGCTCCCGATGGAAAGGGCGAGACAAACTTGGCTTGGGTAAATCTGGACTAATGAGCAGCATTCACCGGCCAGCTTTTCTCCTCTCTCCCCCACGCACAGCACTGGCTGGGTGCTTCGCGGACGGCCCCATTCGAATGAAGCAGTAAGGGGGATCCGAGAGCAGGGGAGTCGCCTGTGTTGCATGCTGGGAAGAGGCACACAGATTCAACAGGGCGAGAACCTGTGCCGCCAAGAACAGAAATTGCATCCGAGTGGCCTGCGGGGTTCTCCCAGACCCATGCGCTGGCACTGGTTCCCAAACTTTTTGGCATCACACCCCCTTTTTTAATTTTGAGACGCCCTCACGCCCCCACCCCCGCATTGCAGCAAAACTTGTTGAACAAAAACAAAAAAGGAACTGAACCAGGGTAAAAAAAGATAGCAGCAAAACTTATGGGGGGGGAGGGGGGGAGCACTGGGTCACCTCACACCTCCCCTGGAATTTCTTCATGCCTCCCCAGTTTCCTTCCCAGTTTGGGAACCCGTGCACTAGAGGTTCCCACCAGGTGCTGAGGGTGGGGGGTGGAGGTGGGGAGATAGAGAATTCCTGGCAAAGCAGATGAGCTCCTGGAGCTGTAGGTGCCTTGCCCAGGCAGCCTCCCTGTCTGACACTGGTATTTGCTGGAGTGCGCCGGACCCTCCGTAGCATCGCCTCCATAGGGCACCTATTCCAGTGGGTCTTGCATAGGGTGCAGGCCACGGCTCCCCCTATTCGCACGTGCACGCTGAGAGCACATTGCTCGCAAGGCGGGTGCAGCTGCGGGATCGCAGCACCAGCCGCATGTGAGGGGGGCCGACTCACCGTCATGGTGCCCAACTCATCGTAGACTGTGAGGAAGAAGTATAAGGAGAGTTGAAAACAGCCAAATCCGCACAGGGAAAAGATATTGCCATAAAAAAAACTATAGGATGTTCTCTGTACGCAAAGGTCCCTGCCAGGGATTTCCTTATACCCCCCCCCAGGGGGTGTATACCCCCCCCTGAATTTCCCCAACACCCCCCCAGTTTTGTGAACTATGGTGCCATACAGCCCACCTTCACCTTCATGGTCTCACCCCTCATCAGCCCTGACACCCCCCCATGTAAATTCAAACACCCCCCAATTTCAATTTCTGGGGAGGCTACGCCCCACACCAGTGTCCAAGCCCCTTCCAGGGTAGGTTGTTATTCCCTCTGCTCACATCCCAAAGTCCTCTCTTTCTCAGAGCTCCCTGAGCTCTTTCTTAGGAACTAAAGCCTGGGAAATTGCCACACCACCTATTTCCCTAGCAGTCAGCCCTCACCGCTCTCTCCTAGAGCAGCTGTCCGTTCCCCTTATATAGCTCCGGGCTGGGCCCTCATCAACTAGAACTACCTCAGCTGGAGCTTTGCTCCTAGCCGGGTTTTTCCCTTAAAGGGCCAGTGCAGGGCAAGCGCCCTGTCACACCACGCCACAGGCGCCATCCT